TATATGTATATACATATAATCATTACTTATACTATAACTGATTGACGGAAATTTCGGTTTTGATGAAATAGTTTTTCTTGATCGAATATCAATTTCGATTAATGTTAATAGGTAAAACATTAATTGCAATAATAACATAAACAGTGCACAAAGATTAATTTGAGTAAAAAACCAATTAAATTTATTAAAGTAATTAATAAAATTAAATGGTTATTTAAGTAAAAAAGAAAAGAATATAATAGAGCAATTCTTACTTTAATAATAATAATGACTAATATTAACGTATGCAAAAGCAGAACATAAATATTAAACAGTAACAAGGATAAACATATTCGATTGCACATTTATGGGTTTGTATCGGGATTACAATCAATCGAGTAACAATTATTTTCTTCTTACCTGCACTAATCGAATCTATGCATTACTAATTTGCTACTGTTTACTTCTTAATTGTAAGTATACTACTTTTTACATTCGAATGACAATGTGTTTACTCGAATTTGAAAATATTTTCTCGATGTTTCGTTTGGTGAAAGAAATATATCTTTAAAAAACAAACGCGCCAGTGAATTCATTCGGACTTTATTACAGTCAGGTTTTTAATAAAACAGTCCATCACCGATGCGTTAACGTATTTACGGTTCACGTAAAGAAAGTAGCCCGGAATAAAATTCCATCAAAACGTTTTCCGTACCATTACACGTTGATTTATCGCCGGACGAAATGTTTACATCTACGAGATCGAGCTTCGTATTTTTAACTCAAATTTCACACAGGGTGTGTTCCGCGATCAACGGTGCGCAAACAGCAAAACTGAACTGATTTCAACTTGAAAATAGAACATTTCATTTGGAAAACAATTCTGTCTTATCAACTCGTTGTCTAACAGAAACTATAAATCAAGATTTATCAATGTATTCCTTCTTTGGTTTCAATTAAGAATTTACCGTTAACAAATGTTTTAAAGAATTCCTTGCACCCTGAGTTTTTCACTGACTATGGTTGTAATGCAACCATAAATTAACTGACTTGTATCTAGTTGAATATATCTATAAGAACTCTACACTATTTAGAGCCATGTTTGTAGTTCGATCCAAAGGGAAGATTGAAAAAGAAGGTAAAAATCTGCTTTTAAGAACTCAAACTTTTCTATTAGGTTCAGAGCAAGAATTTCAAAAAGGAACAGAAGAAAAAAACAAAGAATCATTGTTTAAACGAAGCGGGGAAGCCAAATCGACGAAGCGACGGAATTTCTAAGCCGAGCAAAAAGTCTTGAGCGCGCTTTTTTCCCTTTAATCGTTCGTACCGGCGCGTTGTCGCTTAAAGAGAAACGAGAATCGTGAAACCGAGCGCGGTTCGAATGAACTTATTATGTAAGTAAGAAACGACTTTAAACGGGTTTCGCTGCGTCGCGCCCAAAGCTGGCAGAAAATGGTGGCAGTCAGCGAAGGCAATTGAAGGAAGACGGTTCAGATGAATCATCGTCGTGCGTGGAGAACTTAACTAACGAGGATACCGCACGGCATTCGGGTCATCGGTGCGGCTGAAATTTTCTGTTCGGTCGTTGCCAACCCGCCTCACTCCTATTTTTCAAACCGTTGTCAGCGCATCTTCGCATATAAATATATTTACGTCGCTTCGATTCGGCACGTTTGTTTTCAAACGAATTTTATCTAAGGAAAATGTTATGGATGCTAACGTTTCAGCTACCGATAAAGTTCGGGCGAAATAATAAACTGATTTGATTTCGGTTTTCGAAATTGATTTCGGCTCCACGTTTTCGAACGAAACTGAAATTTAAGCTGAAAATTCGAGGTTTTCATCTTCGCAACGACCTTAACAGCAGACTTCTTTATGTATTGTATTTAACGTTACGTCGCGAAAGATGTATATTTGAAATCGCCTCTATTGAAATGTGAAAACTAGAAAAATTGAATTTCAAATACAAGTAATGAAAAATAAATTGTAGATATATCATTCAAAAACAAATATCTATAAATTCCATTTCATGGTACAAATTAACAATACTTAAAACAATAATCGTGACCAATGTAAAAGAAGACAATAAACATGTGAAATATTAGCAATTATTGCTGTTGATTAATAAACTTTCAAAGGATCAAAGGACTCTAGCAAAAACCAAGAATAATAGAATGAAAAATAAACTGAAACTATTCTTCTAGGCAGAATTGATCGTGAAATTTGAGAACTGATCAATCGCGACTTTTGGGCTGGCCTGTACAGAAAATTTGGGCCGTATCCGCAACGCGAATGTCGAGCACAGTCCTCGCATAAGTAGCAAGCTTACTCATTGACCTTGTCTGCTGAACGCGGCCCGGGCATCGTCATCTTCAAGCTGAAAAAGCATACAGAATCGCGCCTTTCAAATTTCTCTCCGCGCCGAGGAGTCTTTCAATCCTCCGGCTCTCCGAATTATTTCGCCGACTGTATCCGCCTGGCCCGAACGGAACGAACGGAACGAACGGAACGAACGAAACGAACGGGTTCACCATTCCGTGAATAATGCATCTCTGTCTCCTTCTCCCTCTCGTTGTGTGTGTATTTTTCGCAATTTCCTCGTAACTTACGGTCGTCCGCCGAAATCGGGTCAGTTGAAATTTATCCGCGCCTCGTGAAACATTTAGTCACCCGTTACTTTGAATTATCATACGGCCTCCCCTGACGCATAAACGGCGCCCGTTTATCGTTTACCCGTGAATTGATCGAGGAACGTTATGCTAACGTTAGAAATAATGAGCCGGTTGAAAAAAAAGGACCGGTAACGTGAGGCGACTAAACCAGTTACTAAATGGGTTTGTAATCTCTCGCACAAACTTACTCTCCGGTTTCTAACCAGAACATAGACTTTGAAGCGTTTATAAGGATATACGGTCGTAAGTTGTACGTTAAAGTAACAATTTCGCTAATGCCCAATTAACTGTTTATATAACTTTCGGTTGAACGAGACTGTCGATAGAAGAGGCGCGAGGAGCTTTTACGTGATCGTTTCGCATGATTAATTATCGACAAAAAGTTTGTTACCGCGAACTTACTCGAAACTAGTATCGAAACAGTTCAAGAAAATTGAAGGAAATTTGTATGGACGATAATTCGCTTGCCGTAGTCAATAATTTTTATTTAGGTACGATGCAGTTTTACATTTTTTGCGTGTTGTTACGTTCAAGGTGCTTTGAAAGTCATCGGGAATTTTTTAAATGTCGCTATATATTTTTAGCTTTACAACATTGCAGCCGATAACTTTTCAGCAACCGTGAATATAATGTCGTATGAAGCTTCGTAATTTTTTTGTATGTTTTCTCCTCTTGAAAAGTACCAGCAACTGTACTTTTGTCTTGGACAATTTACTTTATCCTCAATCTTAATATGCGTGTATTTAGTCTTCTACTGTTTTACTTCTACAAAGCGTAGGAATTTCTCAATTTCTCAATTCTATATAGATAGAATAGGGGGAAAATGTCAGCGGAGATAATATGAACAAACGATAATGGAATGAATAATAACAAAAACTACCAATCCGTAGGTTTGACCTATGACCTTCCTTTTTGAATCAATTTGTGCTTAGAAAACAAGAAAGTGCATGCAAAAATATTGCAATACTACAGTGAGAACAAACGCGAACATTTCAGTTGCTATCACAAGGATTAAATGGTTCATTACAATAATAACATACAAACTCATAATATCAGCGAGTTCACGTTACACTTTACAAACATTGCAAGTTTGTACTTTCCCTGCAAGAGGTAACAAATGTCACCAGACAAGATTTAACTCCGGCAACGCCAGATTCGACTTCTAGGGTATTCGTTCGAATAAAAACAGAGAAGCTGGGCCTAGCGCGTCGACGAATTCCGAGGATCGGACAGTTAATTTATCGGAGTTATCTGAAATTGGTAACAATGGACCCACTAAGAAGATGAACGCGTCACTTGTCGGCGATGAATCAGATATACGGGTTTCGCCGGGAAAAAATCGGAAGTGAAGCCTGGCCTTTCAGCCACGTACAAGGGACTTCCTCTTTAACTGTCGGGAGAAGTGGTGGAGTAGGCTTTCAATTATAAGAGCACTATCAATTATCTCGTTTGTCCAACAAGCTTAAGTCTCACTGGCCGCGGATGCCCCGACCTACGAATACGTGTGCCACGCCGAAACGGAACACAAAAATCACTGCTTTCACGTTCCTCCAGGCGATCCATGGATCTTAATTCTTTCAATCCGATGTTTGGCTGACAAATAGACCACAGATCTTTGTGTAAATTCAAATTTTCACGATTATGAGTAGAAAAATGCATTTGCATTAGAAAATGGATTTTCCTGAGAAATATTATTTAAAACGCTACACTTTATTATGATGTGCATTCGGAGTAATTTTGCAAGTTTAAATTTCCTATAAAGCCATTAAAATACGTGGTTTGCCAATAAATAGACACGTAAATACGACAGAAACGTGTCTCGATAGAGTCACGGTGCAAGCGTGCGAAACTCGAACATCTTTTATTGTGCCGTTTTCGAAAAAAGTTGAGATAAATGTTCAACTTTTCTGTTACCACAATGAAAATAGTAGTAGAAAATAATAAACATTTCCGGCGATTTGAAAGGTCGAC